TACTTCGTCAGTCGATCAACGACGACGAACAGGACCGTCTTTCCTCCGGAGGGTGGAAGGCCGACGATGAAGTCCATACTGATATCCTCCCACACCCGCTCAGGTACTAGCAAGGGCTACAAGAGACCTGCGGGTCTCAGATGAGAAGCCATGACCCGCTAACAAGTATCGCACGACGCTACATAGTCCTTCACGTCCTGGCTCATCTGGGGCCAATAGAACTGAGACCGGATCCTCCTCAACGTTCGCTCGACCCCTGAGTGCCCCACCGAATGGGGAGTCATGATACTCCTGCAGCACGGTCGTCACCAGTGAAGATCCCCGCGGAAGAACAATGCGCCCAAGGAAGAATACGAGCCCCTGTCTGAAGGAATAATGACATGTATTCTCACTGACTGCTATATCCCGACAACCCTGCAGGTAGGTATCGGTATCGGTGAGAGCCCGTAATGCGTCCCAGAACTGGGGAACCGGCCCCGTCACTGCTGCCAGTACCTCGCCCCTCGAGCGCCGCGAGAGCCCATCGGCCACGACATTGGAGGGCTCTGGTCGATAATGAATCTCATAATCATACCCAAGGAGCTTCGAGACCCACTTGTGCTGGTCGGGAGTGGAAACTCGCTGCTCCAAGAGATTTCACAGACTCTGGTGATCGGTGTAAATGTAGAACTTCTGGCCCATAAGGTATGGCTGCCACATCTGCACTGCTGTGATAATAGCCTACATCTTCATCTGGTAAGTAGACCAAGCCTCCTTGGATGGAGCCAAGGTCTTACTCATATAGGCCACCGGGTGACGATCTTGAGATAGCACCGCCTCAATTCCCCGGCCCGAGGCATCGGCCTTAATCACAAAGGTCCGGGAAAATTCCGGCATGGCTAGGGTCGGGGTGGTCGTCATGGCCTGCTTAAGCTGCTGAAATGCCCTGTCTACTTCCGATGTCCATGCAAACCCGCCCTTCTTCAATAGGTTAGTCAAGGGTCGGGCGATCATACTGTATCCCTGCACAAACTTCCGGTAATAACCGGTCAAACCCAAGAATCCCCTCAGCTGTGAGACAGTAGTCGGGGTTGGCCACTCGACCATAGCCTGAATCTTCGATTGATCCACCTGGACCCCCTGTGGAGTGACAATGTGACCCAGGTACTCCACCTTCTGGACCCCAAACGCACACTTCGATGCTTTGAGGTAGTACTGATGGTGCCTTAATATCTCAAATAGGGTTTTAGGTATAATATGCCCCTCTACTATGTCGTTTTATCAAACATGCCCCTCTACTATTTTTTACATCCACCACGCCCTTGTACTTTAGAAAAATGATCAAACATGCCCTTCTGTTAATATTTTCATCCAAAAATAGTCAATCATGGTCGTACCTTGGTTTGGGGGACACAAATGTCTAAAATATCCTTAGTAATTTCACTTTAAAATTTTTTGGGTTCTTTTGTAGAGCCAAATACCTCTAATAATTTCAGTTTAACGAGACCTAGAAAAATAAAATGGGGAACAAAACTGACATTTTCGCTCTCATTTGCCGATGTCGGGTCATCTACATCTCGGTTCAACCATGGTTGGCGATTTTTTTAATGGAAATTTTAACAGAAGGGCATGTTTGATCATTTTTCCAAAGTACAAGGGCATGTTTGATATAAAAAATAGTCTAGGGGCATGTTTGATAAAACTACATAGTAGAGGGGCATATTATACCTATAACCCTCTCAAATACTACCTCCAAATGCATTTCCCAAGAGGGATTGTAGACTAGAATATCATCAAAAAAATACCAGCACATACCGTCTCAGCAGTGGGCGGAATATGTCATTCATCGCCGCCTGAAAAGTCGAGGGAGCATGCACAAGCCGAAGGGCATGACCAAGTACTCATAATGGCCATTATGAGTCCGGAAAGCGGTCTTGTGCGCATCCTCCTCCTGCATTCGAATCGGGTGGTACCCAGCTCGCAGATCGAGCTTGGTGAAGTATGTCGATCTGTGGAGCTCGTCGAGCATATCATCTAACGTTGGGTTCGGAAATCGATCCTTCACTGTCGCGGCATTGAGCGCCCGGTAATCAGTGCAGAAGCGCCAAGTCTCATCCTTCTTCTTAACCAACAGCACCGGCGAGGAAAAAGGGCTGGTACTCGGCCGAATCAATTCGGTCGCTAGCATATCCTCCACATGTCTCTCGATCTCCTCCTTCTGTGAGTGGCCGTATCGATACGGCCGGACGTTCACAGCCTCCACCCCTTCCTTGAGCTGAATGTGATGGTCAACCAGTTAGTGCGGCGGTAGTCGGTGTCCGAAACAGCTCCGGGTAAGAAGCCAGCACCCGCTGGAGATCGGGGGCTAGCTCCTGGTCCTTAGTCGATGCCACGGGCCAGCACATGACCGCCAACTCCGCCTCCTCTCCGGTGATGCACTCATGGAGAGAAACCGGGCCTAGGGCCGTGGTAAGCCCCTGCAAACACCACTCCTTGTCTCTCCATTTGAACCGCATGGTTAAGCTACCAGTCAGTGGTGACTGGGCCCAATATATGCAACCATGGAACACCCAAGATCATGTCAAACCCGCGAATGGACAGCACAAACACATCCGGGGTGACGGGAAGCCCTTGAATCTCGAAGGGCATCCCCCGATAAACGACCTTGCATTGCATAGGAGCACCATTAGCTACGCGGACCACCATCGGATCCACCAAGCTTGGCGCCTGTGGAAGAAGCTTGGCTAGCTCATCGCTAATGAAATTTAGGGTAGCCCCATTGTCCACCAAGGTCAACGCCAAGTACCGGCAACCTGAGCTCGGAAACGGAGAGTTCTGGGTGTCGGCAGCCCGCTCACAGAATGGAGAGAGAGCGACGAAGCTGCCCCATCCCCTGCCGGTTGCTCAGCCGCCGCGATCCCCTCTGACGCGCTTGGCGAAGCCCGCCTGCCGGCCTGCTGCGACTCCCGCAGCCGCGCCGCCTTGGCGACCACGTCTCCCTCGTCGTCCCCAGGCCGCGGCTCTCGCGGCGCGCCCCGCGCGGCAGCGCCTCCCCAGCACGACCCCTTTCCATCGCCGGCTGGCTCGCCGGCCCAGTCGCCCCCAACGGCGGCGCCTCTGAGCACCCTACCGCCGCTGCAGCCACCACATACCGCGCTTGCTCACGCGCTACGCGAGCTTGATCAGCCAGTATGGCGTCAATCCTTTGTTGCACACAGGTCCAATCCAAATCAGAGAATCGTAGCGAGCTCATGGTAGCTCTGATACCAAATGATAGAGAAGAGTAGGGTTGGGAATTGAGAAGAATTGGGAAAAAGAGTTAGGGATTGGAGAGAATTGGGGAAGAACAGAGAAAAGAGAGAATGAGGGATTTTGATATTATTCTTGCTTAATCCCAAATGAACATACTCAATCCTCTTTTATGAGTTTCAGCAACTAACAGGAAAATAACAAAAATGCCACTCCAACCCGACCAACACGGCCGAACCCGCCCCACCCTACACGCCGAGCGGGTTTCTATCAAGTTTAGATCGTCCGCCACATAAATCGGTTTTCATGTTCGATGCCAGGTGGGGTAATAATGGAGAGGCATCGAATATTGTTTCTAATGCGTGGTCGATTCCAGCTCAAGATTTGCGTTGCTTTTAGTTATGGAAATGAATGAAATTGGCTAGACATTGGCTGTTTCAATGGGCTAAACAGGGGACTACCAATTCAGCACGTCACATAAAGGAATTGAAAGCAAAGTCTTCACTGGTCCAAAATAATTATCCGGTTGATTGGGCCGAGTTGGCTCGTGTTGAAACCGAATTCCGAACTTGTAGTAGTTTGGTGAGTAGAGAGCTCTATTGGAAGCAATGATTGATTCGAGTCTAATTGTACACATTTTACCCCTCGTTTCTTGATAGTTTGGCTTTGCATTTCATCGTCCCTCGACATATTTCACGCTAGGTTGTGCTTGTTTTGATACATTTCAGGTCTTAGCACATGTGGAAGGTTTTACCCCACATTTCTTGATAGTTTGGCTTTGCATTTCATCGTCCCTCGACATATATCACGCTAGGTTGTGCTTGTTTTGATACATTCCAGGTCCTAGCACGTCTGGAAGAGTAGAGGACGAGTTTTGGGACGATTGAAGGTCAAAAAGCGCAAAAACTGAAGAGAAGTCCAAAGTCACCATGACAATTGCCCCGTGACCGTGAAGCGCGAGCGCCCAGGAAAGCAGCCGCAGTTCGCGGTCCAAGCAGTGAATTCAATGTCACCAAGACCATGAACTGGAACCACAAACCGTAAATCGCAGAGCGTCCAGAGGAGTTTCAGAGGTTAATGACGCTGAGGTGAGCTGGAGCCATGGACCGTGAACTCCATAATTGAAGCTTCGCATTTTGATCTGTGTTCACGATCCCGACCTGATGTTCATGGTCGTGAACTGGGACCGTGAACTGGGCGCGACTGGGTATAAATAAAGAGTTGAAAGGAAGAGGTGGGGGAGCTTTTTCTAGGGTTTTAGTTTTCGGAATAAAGGGGATATTCTAGCGACAGATTAGGATTTCCTCTTCACGTTCTAAAGAGAGAAAGGGTCATTCAAAGGAGAAGGAGATTGGGCTCAATTCAAGCTAGAGGATTGAAGAACTCTTCTTCTCAAGGGAGATTCAAGCAAGAAGGAAGGAAGATTTTCATCTCTCCATGGTTCTTTCTCTCCTTTTTGTTGTTTTCCTTTGCCTAGCTATGGATTAGCCTTCCTACTCACTTGGGTATTGTGAATCCTAGTCTAGATGTGTGTTAGGATGTAAGGATTTGATTCTATTGAGTTGATTGTGTGTTTTATATCTATAAGATATATGAAGCGAAAACAAGGGTTGGGTTTGCAGGGATTCAAAATTACAGCTCCCAGAGGGTTTGTCGGAAGGGCACTATGGTCATTCTCAATTAAATAAAGCTGTGCGTTTCACCAACTACACTTTCGGCTGGTCCAACGGGCCAGGGCATTATATAGCCGGCCCAAACTCTTGCCCCCTGAAGCAGATGAAATTGGACCAAGTCTCTCCTCACACCAGCATGGAAATGCTTCCCTCGAAACCCATCTGAAGCAACGGAGCTTGCCTCCGGTCGTGGTTCGTCGTCGAACACTCTGGATCCCGACGAGATGCGGACGGCAGCCGCGGAGGAGACAGAGGAGGAGTCAGAGCCGCATTCACCGTCGATTAGGGGACGTGGCGGCAGAATTGCGGTTCGTGGGACGAAGAGGAAGAGGAGGAACAAGTGTTGGGTGGTGGATTTGTACAAAAATAGCGATGAGATGACGACTGGGACTACGGTGGCGACGGTGGCGACATCGAAGAGAGGACGGAGAAGCCAGGTGATGTCGTCGAGGTACCGAGACTCTTCAGTGGTGATGGTGCCGTGGAAACAACTGTCCCGCCGGCGTCCCTAGCTGCCGGGGGTTTTGCACGGGAACCCGACAAAACAAGATGAGGAATAATATTAATGGGAGATTATAAATGGAAAATTGGTCATCAGATTATGATTTTTCACACGGAACAATTTCCTTTCGATTTTGACATTCTGAGTTAAATTATAGTCCTTCTGTTTGACATGAAGCTACATTATGGTTTGGATTTGTTGAAATTCGAGAGAAATTTCTTAGAAGAAGGGCAAGTCACAAGTGAAGTTTGTTGAGTTATTTTCATACTAATTTATGCATGCCTAATTGCCTATAAGACAGGCTAATTATAGATAAATTAAGTATGAAAATGGAGAAGAAATTTCCAGAGATAAACATATGGAGACATCCAATAGAATTGGAGAAAAGAGTTCAAAGATCCAACCACTACCATAAACAACCACCATGTTGGAACATTGGCGTAGCCAGATATATAATTTAGTGGGGTCCAAACATAATAAAATACGAGACTGAATGTAGGAAGAGTATTTTTTTTCATTGCAATTATTTATCTACTTAAGGTATTAACATCTAGATTTGAACCATGGTCTCTTAAAAAAAACAATCACAACCAATTACACTAAACAAATTTGTTTTATCTTCTTGAATTGTAAGCATACACTTAGCGAAGATTTGAAAAGCATAGGAACTTTCCCTCACGTTTAGCTAGCCTATTAAATATTCTAAAAAGCAAAGTTTAATACGTGATTTATAATTTTTTTTATAACCTATAAAATGACGGGTAATCTTAAAATTGCAACACAAATTCAATGCTTGAATTGCATATCGAATTGCAGTATTGAATATGCAATAGAGATGTAGAATTCTTTAATTAATATAAATTTACAGAACTACTATGAAACAATAATATTTTGTACAAACTATATGTGAGTGGTTCTCTAAAATTTTAGCCTGGTTAATTGCTAAACATTAAACCTTTGGCTAATCTAGCATTAATGGATCCGACAATAATGAGAAGATATTAGGTTTAATGTGATGTTCATTTTGCCATTTTTGGGTGTGTTGATCAATTTAAGGGTATTAACATATAAATGAGTTATAATTAACCTCATTATATAATTTTTACTCTTTATAATAATTAATTTAATCTTAATATTTGTGATGTTTGAAATATTTTATGTATGATTTAGAGATATACTTATTATTTGTGGCATCGGTGGTAGTTGGTTCAAATGTAGTATTTTAGCATTTATGATTGTTTTTATCTTGGTGTTGTGAATATGTAAAAACTGAATTATTAGAATGCATGTAACTATACGCAGATACATGATCGAGCTAGCATGACACAGTTAGAGCATACCATGAAGACAATGTATATGGATCGACCCTATACAAGTATGAATGCTTCATGGGTCATACCTGACTTAAACTTCAAGCGCTCGCGCACACGTGCGAGCACCACATAGTCTATATTGGTGCACCCCTGTTTTATGGAGAAATGCGCCATTTGAGAGGAACACGCGGCCATTTGGTCGCCAGGTTTTAGGTCCTCTGATTCACACTTTCGATTGTGAATGGAGAAGAAGCATTTCGAATGCAAAATTGGATAAGTAATTGGGATGTTTCTAGGTTTCTCTCAATTCCAGGCGGTGGGAAGAAAGAGGAAGGAAAGGGGGAGAGTGGTGAGATACAAAGCTCAGAGAGAGAGAGAGAGAGAGAGAGAGAGAGAGATGGAAAAACAAATGGAAAAACAAAGAGGATTATCGACGATCCGCCGGGCAAGTGTAGCCATCACTGTCTCATCCATCCTAATCCACACCACTGTTGATATGACCTCGAGGATCTAAGCCTTTGAGAATGATTAACTTAGCGGTGGAAGGGTAATACCTGCTGGCATCTCAAAGCAAACCCGTCCTTCGCCGCTGGAGCTTCGCCGACTAGAGAAGGAGTTCGTCGGATCGATCTTCTCCCCATCTGCTAGAGGAAGAAGAGGCGAACTGTAGCAACTTCGTTCGATGGGGAGGTCGAGTTTGGGGGAGGCTGGGAGAAGAACAATGGGAGCTGGGGTTAGCAAAACGACGTCGTTGGTCTAAGTGAACAAAAGGAGAAAAAAATGTGGCAAAGGGATTCGAACGCTGGGCTCATTAAAAGGAATGGGGGCATAACCCAATGGGCAATGGGAGGAAATTCGTCTCTCATTTTCCAGCATAGGATGTTTTATTGTTTCCGCCCAACTGCCTCTTTTATTCCCCTTTATTTTTTCCAACAATAATGAAATTGCAAGTGAACACATTTCTTACAATTTATTTTTTTTATTTTTGTTGTCATAGGAGAAAACAGAAAACAAAATGGCAAGTGAACGAGGCATAAGAGAGAGTGAGAGAACATACTTAAACGAGGGGGGGGAATGAGTTAGTGTGAAATAATTGTCCTTCTGCTTTGCTTAGTCGGTATGCTTTGCCCTGTTGAGTTTTGATTTATTTTAGGAGATGACATTATATTTGATAGAATTTTTGCATTTCGATTAAGGGGTCGTTTGAAAGTTGCGATTGTTTTGTTGAGATTTACTATACATGTATTGTTTAGAATTCATCATTTTTTATATTTTTTAGTAGAACCAATACATGGATTACATCTATGATGTGACCGAAACTATCAATCAAAATGAGTATTGTTAAATCTCAAATTTTAGTTGTTATTGTTGAGATAGTCGAGTTGGGATTGTTTTGTCTAAACTTCTAGCTTATGTGCCATACACAATGCATCTAATCCGACAATACATATATAATATTATACATGCATTCACAACACAATATCTATTTGACAATCGCAACTTCCAAATGACCCCATAAAATCCTAAATCAGTATTATCATTTGGATGATTTTTTCCTTAATACGATTATGATAATTTATGAGATTTAAGGGTATTTGATTATGTCAATATTTTAGTGGTTTTTTATTTAAAGTTTGAATTGAAAGATCGTACATATTGGCGGTTCGACCATAAAACTTCACACCATAGGATAAATCGATAGGTGATATTTAGCAATATGAAACGGTTGAACCACAGTTAAATTATGATTTCAGTATAAAATACTCTACTGTAAAAAAAATTTATACTATTGTAATCATTTGGTTCAAACAATTCTTTTACACTGGTGGAAACATAAGTTTTAAGGCACATTTTGAACTATCTATTGCAAAAAAACATAAATTAGTTAGCGATAATGAGAATATGCGATCTCATTCAACCCAAAAGACACTTTGCAACTTCTATATTTTTAAAATAGATGTATGTTACTTATACCCTTGCTCATTCATCAACTTAATGAGTACTATAAAGGACATACTAAACTCTATGAAAGACATTTTCTTTCATCTTAAAGGTTGATTATGTATGTATTATGAGAAACAAATCTAATATTAAATTATATGGTTTAATTAAGTAATGGATGACAATTAGTTATATTTATTTCTTTTTTTATTCAATAATTATAAGTAATGCTTATATTATATTTTTCTCTTTTCATGGAGGTCTAGACATATTATGCATAGTTGGATCACTTTCAAAAATGTTATGTGGATAACTAAGTTAGAAAACAATCATTTTGTGCATTTCAAATCCTCTATTATATATCCATTATTGTATATCATATTTCTCGACAAAATTCTTCCGGCCAACGGGCCGGGTCCTGTGCTAGTAATATTTGAGGTATTAATCATGAATGATTGGGTGTTGCTTGATTTATCTCATTATTGGGTCAAATCAACCTAGAAGGTGGGCCCCCCTTTGGCCCATAGGGAGCTTGATCTCCTAGCCACTTGGGTAACCCCTTTTTGGGTTAATATAGGGCCAAATCCTCAAGTATCAAAGTAGTATCATGATCCCATCATGGTTGGTCACTCTCCGCCATCCGGATTAACTTCCGAGGGTTGGGTCTTGCAACTCTTAGTTGATTAGTTAAGAGGGCTAGATCGTCTATCCTATTGTTATCATCCTTAGCCGAAAGGTGAAGAGAGTTAGTCTACTAACTTAATGCCACAATCCTTAACTGGTCAACTAAGAGATTTAGGGGTTTCCCGTTTGTTTGATTAATAGAGCTAGGCCTCCTAGCTGATTGTTGCAATCCTTAGCCAAGCGGTTAAGAGAGCTAGGTTCGTTAGCTTCTTTGTTTTTAATTAATTGGTTAATTATAAGGTACGTGTGAGGACAATGGTACATGAGAAAAATGTCATCATGGATTTATGACATGTTCGAAATCTCATATGTTGATGTGGGATTTACTAATCCATATGATTCACGGATTTGAACTCATAAAATTGTTCAACCAAATAATGGATTTCCTTTAGATCCATTATCGATTGAATTTGGTTACCAAGTCCATCATCTAAATCCATGAAGCAGACCACTTCTAATTCCCATGTTCCGTCTATTTAGGATCCTACATTTTCCACGGTGCTATCAGCTATGCGTAGGGTATACTCAGTGTGTGATCCTTTATTGCTGAATCACTAGCCCTAAGATATCATATACCGAGTCTGTGATTACTTGTATATGTCTGCCCGTATTTGAGCTATCTACTGATAAACATGAGAGAAAAAAGCTTGCATGGTGAATTCAACAAAAGAGACGCTAGAACTGGGGTAAAGTATTCATAAGCACACTCCAAGGAGCAATCAAAGAAGCAAAAGTGCAAACCCTACGGGCAAAATCATGACTTGACAAGCCTAGCACTGAAGGTTGGATAGCACGTCACGACTGTTCCTCAAAAAATACAGCAACGGAAAGCTAGGAGGAAACTAACTAATGCAACAACGAGCCAAGAAATAGATCACTTGACAATACATGTTGGAGGGAAACTATAGGAATGTAAACCCATATACCGTATGACCGATGATAGGAGCAACGAAGGGACCAATGAACTAACAACCATTCTTGATCATAACCAAACTGCAACCTCAATTATGTAGTAAGAATCAAAACAAAACTGCAACCTCATTAATCAAAACTTTCAAGGACTTGATGTTTGATCCATAACATGGCTAAAGTCGATAACAAAACGAGCTACACATCCATCCATACTTAAAAGCTCTTGACATTAAGGAATTTCATAAAACAGAAAATCAGGGACATGACTTTCATCTTTCAAGTTCGGGCAGCAACTGGAGGACCAGCAGGGCGAGCTCCGGGGCCACCAGGACCACCTTGACCAGGCTTAGCATCCTCCTGCACCATTGCAAAGAGCAACAATATGTTAAGTATGCACAGTAAAGAGGAGTGGAGTCTTGCATAGTTACTAATTTTATTCAAGCATCACCCAACAACTACAAGCGAGCTACAGGTTGACCAAAAATATATATATACACACATCTAAATAATCAGTTTACAGATGAACCTTAATCAAACCAACTGAATTGATATGGCACCATAAACAGTACCACAGAATAAGTATTCTACAAATGCAGTCACTGGACTGTCAGACTACAAGAGATTCTCAAAATAACAGCTAGACAATCTGGTGCCCAATCTAACAATGAAGCAAGGAAAAGGATATAATCCAAATCTCAAATGAATGACATCCACAAATGTAGCACAATCTAACGCAAGAGTGATTACCTTGCGCCTCTGGAAGCGCTGTGGTGGGTCACGCTTCCTACGCTCAGTGCGGGATCGCACCCTCACAACACGGGAGTGAATGGCACAGGAGACGCAGTACTGCATCTTCACATACAGCTTCGGGAGAACATATCCTGAGTTTTTGTAACACGGAAATTCACTCACTAATTACTTCATCATGGAAACGAAGAGCAAAAAAGAAAATATACAGCTCGAGGAGCTATTAATCAAGGTTTTGGAATCCTACCGTCATAGACGCAAGCCTCCTGAACATCCCTGACTGCAGCTTGCTCAACGATGTTCCTCACAAGGAATCTCTTGATTGCCTTATCCTTCAAAATTATATTCCCACAAAACCCAGAGTAAACAGATTCCATATGATTAGATCCCGATCTACAATGCTTCTAATAGTTCAATCGCACACCTCACAAACAAAAAAGAAAGAAGAACGACGGAGAAGATAGGAGAACAGTGTGTTACCTTAGGGCAGCATTTGCCGCAGTTGGAGCAGCGGATGAACTTGACATGGCCGCGGCCGTGCTTGTTGCGACCTCCGTTCCTGCGCTTGAACGTCTGCCAATGAAACAAAAGACGTGGAGGGGAAAATGATCAATCACAACAACCAGGAATCCGACCAAGGAGATCAAAGACAAGAAAAGGATTTGGAAGAAGAACCATGGCTCTGCTGCGCTGCAGAAATCGAGGGCGAGAAGTTCAGGGAGGTTAACGCTCGGCTGCTAGGGTTTTTGAGGGAAATCCTCGTCTTATAAGATAACAGGCTTTTTATAGGTATAAGAACTCGGTCCGTCCTCTTACTTCGCCGATTCGAACGTCCATTAACAATAAAGGGCCCAAGAGGGTGCTACGAGGCTGGGCTAGGAAAGCCCATAAAACGTACAAAAAAAATAAATGCAAAAGGGTCCAATTAGTCTCTGCTATGTCAAAACGGAATCCGACCCGATTAACCCGTACGATCAACCCGACCCGTAACCCAAATTGACTATGTTTTTTAAGGAGAGAAAATGAGGAAGAGGAAAATTAAGGAGGGAAAGTGAGAATCCCAATGCATTTTCCCTTGTTCATTTATGGAGGGAAAGTGAGTAAGGAAGGAAAGTTATCCCCTCTTGTTATTATTCAACTCACTCCTCCAAATTGGAGAGAAAGAAGAGGGAATGAATAACACACATGCATGTTCTTATTTTTCTTCTTTTTTAAATATTGGGTTAATACCTTATTTTAGCCCGAACTATGACCATATAATTAACTTTGGCACGTGGCTTCAGAAATTAACATCCTGACCTCAACTATACAACATATAAACTCAATTGGCCCGACACATGGTTTGACCGTCAATTTGGACGGTCAACGGGGTTGACCGTTAGTCAACACGCCATGTCAGCCTAAAAATTATTAAAAAAATTCAAATTCAAATTATTTTCCTAATTTCGATTATATATCATTTTCTAATTAACCAAAAAATAAAATTTTAAAAATATAAAATAAAATATAGATTTTATTTTTGCATATTTGAAAATTATGTATTTTATAAATTAACCAAAAATTATCGAATTAAATTTTATAAATTTAGTAAATATGATATAAATTATATAAATTATTTTCTTGGATAATTTTTATAATATAAATAATTTGATATTTTTTGTTAATTTATAAAATTTATCGTTTTCAAATTACCCAAAAAAATTTATTTTTTTATAATTTATTTTTGGTTAATTTGATAATAAATAATAAAAATTAGAAAAATAATTAGAATTATTTAATGATTTTTAGACTGACGAGACAATGACATGGCGTGTTGACTAACGGTCAATGGTGTTGACCATCCAAATTGACTGTAAAACTCTGTGTCAGGCCAATTGAGTCTATATGTTACAAAGTTGAGGTCAGGATGTTAATTTATGAAACCACGGACCAAAGTTGACTATATGGTCATAGTTTAGGCCAAAATAAGGTATTAACCCTTAAATATTTGCCTGATGGTTAAGTTTCCAACACAAAATAACATTAATTATTAATTCAATTGCTAACTTCATTATTATACAAGATTATTAACTTCACCCACTCTCTCACAATCCTTATTTGTTTTGTACTTAATCGGTTGGAAAAATGACACCCTATTAATTATAGTTATTTTTTGTATTAAATTCGTGTTGCATTTAATAATCTTTGGAAATTAAAAACTCATCTTAATTACATTCTTTTTTTAACTACCACTGCACCGATACAACTACCATTGCACCTATATACTGAACTCATATTAATTACGTTCCTTTTTTTGGAACTACCATTGCACTAATACATCTACCATTACACTTGTACACTAATACCATTGCACTGATACAACTACCAGTGCACTGAAAAAAGAAAAGTAATTAATATGTGTTTTTAATTCATATAGATTATTAAATGTAACACAAATTAATTATCTTAAAAATCTATAATTAATAGGGAGTGTCATTTTTCCAATCCTTTTAGGGGTAGGCATGCTATCTCATCCCTACTTAATCTCTTTTTTTTAATAATTCCGTACTTAATCTCCAAAATAAGATTAAGTGAGTCTTTTTAATTACTAGCATGAAAGTAATCAAATTAGTCTTGGTGACTTTTAGCCTTCATTCTGCTTCCTAACAAAATTACTTAGTAACAAAGAAGTAGCCAAACAAAAATAATTATTTCAATGATGAATTAGTAAATCGTAGCATAGTGTTGGTAATTTTGTAAAAATATACCATATATAATTTGATAATCATATATTATACCATGATAGCAAAAATATATCATAATGGTAGAACGATGGTAGAAATATACCATAGTGGTAAGCTTGTTGATTTGTGGTCTAATATAGTACTAAATTCTATTTATTGTTGTATGACGTGGAAGTCACGTCGCAGCCACTTTAGAATTATATGTTGCGTTATAGACAAAAGAGACTAATGTCTGTCAATATTAACGGTCTAGCAAAATTTCGAGTTTAATTTTTCGATTTCAAAGTGGATGTCATATTTGTTTATGTTCTTAGTTGTTATGTTGATAAATCAACAAAATAGCAAATTTTTTTTTAATAAGTTGAATGATTTTTAATCGATTTAGAATCCTTGATCAATTATTATAAAGTCACTATTTTTAAATGATTGATGTGGTTAGATCACGATTTTTAAATAAACAAAATATTTATTTACTATTACATAACTAATAATAACATATTCATCACACTTCCCAAAACACATTTCCTTCCTACTTTCCTCCATAAAACAACATTTTCCTTCACCTCCAAATCTCCCCTCCCCTCCTAATTTTCCTACACTTCCCCTCTTTTTCCTCCCTTCCTTCGGAAACATAGTGTAAAAGTTAACAACTTGTAATCCGCCCGAACCGCAACCCGATTGACCCACGACTCGACTAACCCGCAACCCAATTAAACCCGCAACCCGATTAAGCCGAACCTGACTAACCAGCAACCCGACCGACTCAACCCGAACTTCACTTAATCCACTTAAATAATTATTATATTATATAATACATAGTTTTTCAAAATAAAGTTTTTCATTCTAAACTTAGTTAAAATTATTTCTTCATTTCGTATAGGAAATTTAAAAATATGAAACTCGCTTGATATTATGTATTTTAAAGAAATTATAAAAAATTGAAACATTAAGGTAACTTGAACACTAAATTTCTTTAAAAAATAAAAAAAATAAAGATAAAATATAAATTTAGCACAATGTGAATATTAATAATGAATAATTAATAATTTAGATCATGGACAATATTAATATAATATATAAATTAAATTTTTGGTTAATTTAACTGTTTAATAAAGTTATCAATTAAATATAAATAAAGTAAAGTAATGTATTTGGTAATTTGATGGTTTTAAGAGAATAGGAAAATTTTGGTGTATTCAACTTTTGGGAAGAGAAAGAAGAGGGAAATTAAGTTCTTTGAATTTTTTAGAAAAGAAAAAGGGGGAATTTTGGTGGTTTTGAGTTGTGTGAAGAGAAGAAGTGGGAAAGTTTGGTTCTTTTGATTATGAAAGAGAAATAATGAGGGAAATTTTGAGTTCAACTTTTTATGGAAGGAAAGAAGGAAGAAGGAAATTTTGTTTTTCAAATGGAAGAGAAAGATGAGGAAAATTTGGTTCTTTCAATTTTGTGGAAGAGAAAGAAGAGGAAAAATTGAGTGTTTCTAATTTATGGAAGGAGAAAGAATGAGAGAAATTTTAATATTTTAATTTTTTGTGAAAAAGAAAGAAGAAAACAAATTTGGTGTTTACAACAATCATTGATTTTAGAAAAATTTATTTAATTTGTTTACTTGTTTTTTATACTTCTACATTTATTGCAATTTCAACACTACATAATTGTTATTTTACAACACCTAGTAAAAATTTTGCACATTTAAGTTGTGTTCAAGTTGAACTTTCATTTCAAAATAGGTGTTAAACTTGGTCTGTTAAGTTTTACGATTGCGGGTTTGAAAATTTTGGGTAATTAGTTTGCGGGTCACTTTGGAATGGAAAATGAGAGGGAGGATTGGATGGGAACTTTGGAATGGAAAATTTATGGGCGGGTGAATATGAGCTAACAATTATACTAAACTTGATAAGTAATTTTGTACGGTTCGTTGTTTAGGGTATAGAGTATATGGTTAGGGTATAAAGTATTGATGGTTTTGACGGTTCTAATTTTTTTATTAACATATAAGTTCACTTGAAGTCATTTAAAATCTTTAATGGCGGGAGATCCCTTTTTAATTTACGTTTATGGTACGTGGTTAGGGTACATAGTATATGGTGTAGAGTATAGGATATATGGTTAGAGTATAATATCACTTTTCTTATCTATGTTTGAAAATCAAAGTATGAATTTCACTTTAAATTAACTATACTAGCAAAATAACAACTCATAGGGATATATGGTTAGGGTATAGGGTATGTTGTTAGTGTATAATATATTGATGGTTTAAAGTATACGATCAACAACATATATTAACTTAATATTGTCTATTGAGAGTAAGACTAAGTCTATAGGATATATGTTATTGAGTAAGTTATGATTGAAGTCACAACAATTTTACAAAATTCGATAGTTAATCTTTAGTGGTTCAATTTTTAGGGTAATTCGAACAATTTTACAAATAACTCGTTTGACAACAGTTTACAGAAGTTATTAGGGCAATGAGTTATTTCGAAATAACTCCTTTTACCACTCTGCTTTTGCCAAATGTGAAGATTGGTGGAGGGGTGAGGCAACCTCAGAGGAAGTGGTCGCCTAGGAAGAGTACCTCTCTTCCTCAACAAGACACTAAGAGTCGCCAGCAGCCGAGTAGGCGCATGAAGCAGGCTCCCCGTCCACAGAAGGAGGCTAATCCTGTGGAGATGGTTCTCGAGCAATCCCGAAGGCGTAGACTGATTTTGCAGGAGGAATCTAAGGAGGAGGAGAATGCGATACCTGCGCCTAAAACAAAGAAGGATGCTCACATGACCGTGACCCAGCCAGGGGGCTCAGCACCTCGGGTTCGCCCTCGATTGAGAAAAGGAGGAGCTAGCTTCCCCCTGACTATGTCCAATCAGGTTGAGGACGCTACTCCACCTGTTGCTATGCAGGATCTAGAGGACAAGGATTTTGGGGCTTCACTTGACGACCCCAATTTGGTGGATCACCACGAGGGATCTGATTCTGAGGAGGATCCATCGTTGGAGGAGTCCCATTCTTTTGAAATCAAGCGCAGATCACCTATTGGTGCATCCATGAAGACCTCCTAAGTCATGAAAGGACGTGTTCACCAAGTGGTGGAGGCTTTTGAACCAGGGCTTAGCATTGGACAGGTGGACAATGTTCCCTGGAAGGGGGTGAGCTTGAACCTGAATGAATATGGGTCTAATTTGATGGATCCAATCATGGAGAATCATAAACGTATGCTTGAGGAGGTGGAGGGGGATGTGGGAGACCTCTTACCCCAAAGAAGCAATTTGTGGAAGCAGCGGATGTTCTGGAAAAGGTGGAGGAAGCCAGCCTCGAGTGGCCCCCAGCCGATAAATGAGGCTTCTGGCCTGGAATGTGAGGGGAATTGGGCCATCCCTCACCTTCCAAACTGCTTTAGGGCTTGTTCATTCTAATAAACCGGATGTAGTGTTTTTTTTTCTGAAACACGATCGAGCCGGCGCGTAGTGTCCCGCCGTATGTGGGGTTTAGGTTTTGATAGTTCTCATTGTTTCTTTGTTGATGCAGTCGATGCATCGGGTGGGTTAGTAGTAGCTTGGGTCCCCGGAGTTGACACTTCGGTGTTTTGTCATTCCAATTTCTACATTTGTTCGCAAATTAATGAAGGAGATTTTTCTTATTTGGTGTTTTTTGTCTACATTAGTTGTAATGTTGCTGTTCGAGCCAACCAATTGGCTCATTTGAGAGATGTTTGTGCGACTATTCATCACCCCTTTGTGGTCTTAGGTGATTTTAACACTACCCTCCATGAGGGAGAAAAAGATGGAGGTCGGGCTTGGAATGCGGCGCAAGCCATTAGCCTTCGGGATTTTGTTCTTGATTTAGGGCTCCATGACCCAGGCTACCAAGGAGATCAGTTCACTTGGAACAATAAGCGTATGTGGGCGGCGTGCATTCGTGAACGTCTAGATAGGGCACTTTGCTCCCAATCCTGGATAGATACTTATCCTGAGACTTTGGTCAAACAATTCACGGATCAGGGTTCGGATCATCGTGCCCTCCTTGCTGATAAACCTTATACTCGGTGTAGTCGGCCTCTTTTCCGGTTTGATGCTCGTTGGGCGGATAACCCAGAGGTTAGGGCTATGGTCCATTATGTCTGGCAGGAGTATATACAAGGTACCCCTATGTTTCGACTTTGGGAGCGCCTCAAGAAACTCCGTAACCTGCGATATGATTGGAGTAGGGCAGGCACTACGAACTCTTTGCGGAATATAAGAACTCTCCAGGCTGAGATTGACCGAGTCAAGTCAATCCATCCGGCAGATTGGGATGTGATCAGGTCCCTGGAGACGGAGCTGACTTGTCACTGGGATGCAGAAGAAGTATACTGGCAACAAAAGTCCAGAGTCCGATGGTTAAAAAAAGGGGACCAAAACTCTTCTTATTTCTATACGGTCACTCACACACAACGGAAAATGAATTTTGTCTCGGGGCTCCGGAATGATGAGGGCGAATGGGTTACTGAGGAAAGTGGGAAGGCTACGATTGCTACCAACTTTTACCAAACTCTGTTTACATCGGAGTCCCAGGTTCCTAATATGACTGATAGGGTGGCGAGTCTCCCCATTTCCCGAACTGTTATCCCGCAAATGAATGCGCTGTTGACGGCGGTGGTCTTGCCTGATGAGTTTCGGAGAACGGTCTTTTCAATGGGGTCGAAGCAGGCTCCGGGGTCTGATGGCTTTA